CTTTTTTTGCCTTCCCACCTCCCCCCCCTTTCTCTCCTTTAAACATGGCTTGGTAGAATAGGCAAACCAAATCGACAGAAAGCCAGGCAAAAAAATAGATTTAAAAACTCATCCCCCAGTGCCTGCCACTCAGCCATTGGCAAAAAAACCAAACAATAAAAAAGGCATGAAATGAAACTCTGAGTTTTCTTTCGTGGTTATTTTTTTTGTTTGTTTGTTTGTTGTTCTCTCGTCTTTTTTGTCAGGTGTTCTTCGTTTTTTTTTTTTTTACCTTTCGCCCCCGAATAAGAAAGAAAACCCCAAAGATGGCTAAAGGCGCTGTGGCTTTCGCTGGGGATGCTCCGGTGAGGGGGATCCAGCGCCGGCACCACCACACCGCATCCGCCGTGCCCATCGCCGCCAAGGCAGCACAAGGGTGTCCAAAGCGGGGCAGCCTCGCAATAAATATCTGTGTTTGTGTGTGTTTGTGGGTCTCTCCCAGCGTTTGATATCCCTGCTCCGAACCCAAACGGTTTCCAAGCCTCTTCCCCTCGCCAGGCTCTCGGTGAACAGAAAGTTTCGCTTCAAAGTTCGCTCGTGGKGGGGAATTGCCATGCGTTTGCGTGAGATTTTTTTCTTTTTTCGTGCTGCTCTTTTTAGGTTTTTGGAGTTTGGTTTTTTGTTTGTTTTGTTTCTCTCGTTTTTTGTCTCTGTTCAGGTGGGTTGATTTCAAACCCCCGGGCTGGAAATTTTCCCTTAAAAACTTGTGGCTCTGAGCRTAAGGGGGAGAGATCAGGGTCGGGCTTGCTCCAGCTGCTGGTGCTGACTCCTGATCGCAAACCTGCTGACGTGCACCGGGATGGGGACCACGATCTTAGGGTTTCGGGAAGGTTCCCCTGTCTTGGAGTTGGCGTTGCCCGCCTTGACCCGTTTCCATTTCGCCCGCCTGTTCTGGAACCAGATTTTCACCTGCACCTCGCTGAGTTTGAGGGCGTGAGCGATCTGGGACCTCTCCGTCAGGGACAGGTACTTTTTGCAGTGGAACTCCTTCTCCAGCTCCAGCAGCTGCTCGCTGGTGAAGGCAGTTCGCCTCCGCCGGTTTTTGCCCGTGGACGTGGTGTTGGTGGAGTTGGGGGGGTTTTGGGGGTTTTCCTCCAGCGCGTTGCCAGAGTCCTCTTCCTTGTGAGCCGCCTGGCCGGGGATGTTGTCGTCCGAGCTGTAATCGAGATCGCTGTCCATGGAGAAACTTTCCTCCTTGCCTTTCGCGTCCTCTTCCGCTTTGGGGTCCTCCTTGCCCTGGCCCCGCAGAGCCCCGGCTGGGAAGGAAGCAGAGGCCTCTCGTTAGCATCCCGTACCCTCCGTGCCGCKGCCGCCGCGCCCCCCCTCCCCGCCCTGCAGCTCCATCACCCCAAAACTGATGGCCTGAGGATTCTTTTTGTTTTTCTTTTTTCCTTTCCCTTTTGCCGGCGCATCTTTCGGTCCGATTGATTTTATCGATAGTTTGCCGAGCGGCGGCGGGAGCTTAACCTCAACCCTCCCTTCTTCCTCGGCCCGGCGGCGCCCCGGGGCCAGCTCTGTCCCCTCCCGGGGGTCTCCCCCGCCATCCCCCGGCCCCCGATCCATCCTCCCCGCCGGCCCCGGCGCTCACTCACCGAGGGAAGCCTGGACGGCGTCGGCGGCGGGGAAAGGCAGGAGGGCTCCGTCCTTGCCCAGGAAGGCTTTGCCGTCGTCGCCGCCGCCGTCCGGGGGTATCCCCTCGGCTTTCTCGAAGTTCCCCGGCGGCGCGAACTTCCTGGCGGCCTCCTGGTGCTGCGGGGAGGCGGGGAAGGTGCCGGGCAGCGTGGCCATGAGCGTGGAGGTGAGCGCCATGCCCTGGGCCAGGCTGGAGCAGAAGCCGGACGGCAGGCTGGGCAGCTGGTGGTGGTGCGGGTGCGCGGGGGGCAGCGCGGGCTGCAGAGCGCCCTGCGGCAGCGCCGGCGGCGGCGGCGGCGGCGGCGGCAGCACCACGGGCCGGTACGGCATGAACATGGGGTAGCCGGTGTACACGAAGTGGCCGGGGGCGGGCGGCGGGGGGCTGCCGATCAGCGAGTCGATGCTGAAGGCCGTGCTGCTTCCCAGCGGGCGCTGCATCATCATCAGCGAGGGCTGGAAAGCCGCGCTCATGCCGGAGCGGCGGCGGGAGCGAGCGAGCGAGCACCTTCCTCCTCCTCCTCCTCCTC